CTTAGATTAATGCTAGAAGCTGCACGATGATATATATCTCGTTATCTCGTGGATGGAAAATGATGGAAAAATAATACGTCGTGTCATATTTAACGAAAAAAGGGGATTGTTGGGGTTGAGAATTTGAACGATCGTGTAAACAATACACATTTTTATTTCTATATATATGTCGGTTAATCAATTCTTTCTTTTTCGAATAATATTTTTAATAAATAACGAAGGAAGCAAGATTGGATCGAGAATGAAATTTCGAAATTTGTACACGTATTACATTTACATATCTCTAATTCTTTCTTACATTAGTTAATTAATTTGCCCGCGAAAGTGAATAATATTTTTAATTCGAAGGAAACAAGATTGGATCGAAAAAAAGTGGTTCAAGGAACCGTGGCGGGGGATTAAAAATTCCGATTAAGCTCGGGAATTATGCTCGAAAGAAAGAAAGAAAGAAAGAAAGAAAGAAAGAAAGAAAGAAAGAAAAAAGTATTCGCATATATTTTCCTTCCAAAACGCGTGATACTTTTTTAATTAATGACAGATTAAGGAACCGTGGCAAGCGATCGGCTCGGAGCGTGTTAAGCGTTAAGAATGGTCCCCGCCTAACGGGCCCACGAATCGAGATCTGTTTTTTCGATAATTTCCAATACCAACCTGACGTGCTCACCTGTTGTCTTTTTCTTTTTTCCTTTTTCGAACAGGTAAGGTGGATCCGACGCCACATACCTCGTCGTTCAACATGGGCTACCTCGTCTCGCCGTATCCTTACCCCAATGGCGCCGGAGGACCCATTCCTGTGTCTATGGTGAGTGTTTATCATTTTATTGTTTCCCGTATCGTTTTACCTGTCTCGAGAAAACGGCTCAAGGACGAGGAATCTCCACGCAAGAGGCGCTCTCGAAAACTTGTCTAAACCTTTTTCCCCTCCCCTGCTCTTCCCACCATTTTTACATCGCTCGTGACGATTAACCGTAAGATTATTGATAAAATTTTCTGACTTCGACGACGCGTTTCATTTTTTCCTTTTTTTTTTTTTTTTCACAAGTCTGAGATTGAAATTTATTTAATTAAACGGTATAGAAAAGGGAGGACGCATACACAAGAATCCACCAAATTCACCCCCTCCTCAAAAGGGGAACCGATCGAATATTCGAATGTGAAGATCGGCCAAGATGCTATTTCGGATCCCCTATTAAGCGTGGAACCGCGAGGGAAGAATCGTGTCGCCTGTTCCGTCAGAGCACTCGCTTTCTCTCTCTCCTCGCCCTTTGAGGATCCCGTGATTCCCGTATTGATTTATGGCGGCCACAAATTGGATTCACGATTTATTTACGAGCGAGCGTTCGCACGGTTTGGGCCTCCCCTCCTCCCTTGATGATAAAGTGCCGGCGATGGAAAACGGCGCTTAGAATTGTTCGGTTTCCGCGACGCCTCTAAATTATTAATCCGCCCATCTTCGTCGCGCAGAAACGATTTTTCCTCGATTTTTCCTGGAGCCCACGCACGTGGATTTATCCAATTTGGCGGCGAATTGGAAAATATCGTAAGCAATTAGTAGCCGCGTTTGCGCGAATTGGCCCCGCGTCAACAAGTCGCGAGATCGGTCGGGCGGAAAGGTTTTTCTTCCGTGAACGGGGATCGCGGGAATTTTAACGAATATTAACGTCGAATAAACGAACGATCCGACGAACTTTAGTAGCAAGTGATTTCGCGTGGCCTTTCCTTCGTAATTTTCTTCGACAACTCTTACAAATTAACCTTTTTCTTTTAAAACTCGACTGTAATACGATTCTATGTTCGTATTCTTAGACTTGGAAAATCGAAAGGTATATATATATATATTCGAGCATACTTGATTTCAACCGATCTTTCAGACGAGCCCCGAAACGGGCAGCTATTTCGCACCGAGTAGTGAATACCTTTCGAAATCGATGAAAACCGCAACTATTCGACAAATATCCCACGAATCTAACTTCGTGAAAAGTATATCGCATCGAATTAAAAAAAAAAAAAAAAAGAAAACAAAAATCCCTAAATTATAAACTCTGTCTCTCTCTCTTTTATAACAAAGACAAAAAAAAAAAAAAAAGAAAAGCGGAAGAATTTTTACACGCCACTGTGCAAACATTTTTCGTACTTCGGCTCGTTTATCGGACACGGGAAATCGGCCGTGCTCGAGAGAGAGAGAGAGAGCTTGTTTCGCGAATGATTTACATCGAAAGTACGTGACAATAGCGAGTTTAACGAGGATCGGCGTGAAATCGGGGAAAGGAAGGGGGACGAGACACGCCATAGGTGTCGACGCTTGTTTCGACGGGTTAAAAAAGCCGGCTAAAATCGAGAGAGCCATACCTCCCCACCCCCGCCCCCGCCCACCGTCCAGATGAATGAAATTTGCAGATTCACGTGTATACACGCGAGCGGCATTGTTGGTGCCGCTACAACAACGGGCACGGAGGGGAGGTGTATCCACGCGTGCTCTCGGGCTAATTTGACTGCGGTGAAGCATGGCGTCGCTAAATAGTGGGCAAAATTGGGCCGATTCGGTGTTAAGCGTGCCATCTCCTTCATCTCTCTCTCTTCGCATATATGTATATATGTATGTACGTACGTTATGATGAAAGAATTTGAATTTCTTTTCTTTCAACTCGTTTCTGTCGAATCGTTTCTGTAAAAATCTTCTTCGATTCGATCGACGAAAGAGAAAGTGAACGAAATTTCGAAAAATTAGAATCTGTCTCGCGTATAAATGCTAATCTCCTGTGTGATAAATATTTTCCACTACTTACTTCACTTTCGTATCTCTCCTCTTCATCCCGCGAATATATATATATATATATATATTTCAGAAATTTTCAAATCTGTAAAACTAAAACCTTCTGTTTATCGATCTCGGGTCAGATAAATCTCTTCTTGAAGTTGAGATATCGCGTAGCCATCCTCTCTCTGTATCATTTCGCTCGGCGGAGAAGAGGAGAGATGATCCGCGAACCCGTTCTTCCTCCTCGTCGATTCTTCACGCTCGATGAACCGCTGCCGCAGCCACGAGGCGGGCATTAATTTTCCGCGATTCGCCTCGTATTGATCATGCTTAACGTCGACGATCGTCTGGAAAGGGTGACGAAGTAATGGCAGTAATGATTCTTCCTCCTTTAGACACGGGCTGGCGGACTTTTTCTCTTCCCCACCTTCCCTTTTTTCTTCTTCTTATTAAACAAGTGCGCTTGTCAATGCGTGACGTATGAATCTTGCTTGCCAGCAGTACTGCCTTCTTTTTATTATATTAATTTTATATATATATATATATAATTACGTTATAGTAAATAAAGGTAGGGCGTAAGGCTGGTGAAAATTAGTCAACCGCGGCAAGTGTCGGATCGCGTCAGGCGAAACTGGCCGGCCAGCCGTTCGCGTGTATACTTAAACAGTCGAGTTACCTCGAGGTTAAGTACCCCGGGGAGGAGCGTGATTTCATTCATCTCGTCTCGTTTCGCGTTTAAAAATATATCGGGTGGATATTATCGGCGATGCAATTGACGCTTTTTAACACCTGGTTCGCACCTGGTTCGCTTCGCTCGAAAATTTTCCAGATTCGTTCGTATTTTATATTTCCCGATTTTGTTATTAAAAAATATTAGTAGAATTATAATAACGCGAGTGAAAAGGGAAAAATTCCTTCTCCCCGGATCATTGGTTTTCTGGATCGATACGATACAGTGGTTATGAAGCAGGCTTGTAACGAGATTAGAGACTAACAGAAATGACGGGTTGATCAGATTCGTATCCTTTTTGCGGTAAAAGTGTAGCTGGATTTCTTTTTTTTTTTTAATTCAAATCACTCGACTTTTAACACTCCCGTAAATTAACAGTTTTCAATTTTAAAATAGAATTCCCCAATTTAATTTGAAAATTTCGTGGACCCGATCGAGATAAGTTACGAAACAGCTCTTTTCGATCAGATTTCCTCAACCAACCGATTCACGTAATAATGCTAAATATTACGCTCCGTGTTTCGAGCATTCCGCTTGCCTGCCGGATAATTAATACCCAGACAGGGGAATCGCATCGATTCCGTAAAACGAGCAGATATCAGCCAACGTTCCGTGAATTTTCTGAATGAACCGTAAGTGAAATTAGACACCGATAAAAAAGGAACTTTCTCAACCTCTTTGGAATCATATTCTTCCCAATTTTTCATCGAAACGAAAAATCGGAAAACTACGTAACATGGAAGGAGGGAGACAAGTTGGCGATGGAAAAACCGAATTTTCCGTAAATAAAATCGAATAACCGATAAAGGGTTGCGTGACGCGGGCAGAAGAAGTTTGGAGAGTGGTTATCGAGCTCTCCTCAACTGGTCGGGACTTGATGAACCACCGATGGCCAGCGACGCTTCCGTACGCACACCACTTCCACTACTGCACGCACGTAACACACCACCATCGTTCTTACCTTTCTTACCTCGTGGACACGCATCCTCTACCCACCCAGGTATCCACCGGTCTGGCTCTCTCTCTCTCTCTCTCTCTCTCTCTCCTCCGTACCGTCCTCGT